TTCCATTTAAAAAAATTAATGTGACCTTGACCTGACCTTCGCTACGCAACCCAAGGTCAAACTGATGTGATCAGTAAATACATCTTTTTAAACGCCACAACTTTTGTCTGAAACATTTTTTTGTAAAACTTATATTTTTCCTGATATTCGGGCGTCCCGGTACTTTCCGAACACCCTGTATATATATATTAATTGTCTTGAGATAATAATTGCTTTCTACGTTTTGCCGATGAGTAAAAGTTAATTATAAGTTTGACGGTAGAGCTTAACTCCCCCTGTAAAATTTGTTCGAAACAAATGCATTTCGTACGTGTCCAACTATTTGTCTCATTGCACTTCCTTCAAACACAGTTACCTTTATTTTCAGCGGAAGTATGTACATACCGAAATGTGACGACTTTTTAAATGGAGATGGAGATATTTCGCATTATATACATATATATAAATATAAATATACATATATATATATATATATATGTGTATATATATATAAATATTATATATATATATATATATATATATATATATTTATATACAATCTTTGAGTTGTCTTTTTATAAATGGTACGATAGGCTACATCGTAAATATCTATTGACTTTATGTACATAAGCCTTTCTATATCTAAGACTTTAATATGGTGGGAATCAAATGACGCGCAAATATCCGCCGTAATTACTTACATGATTTTATGTAAATAATATATATCACGTTAACGAGTCACACATCATACATATACATACATCTACACAAATATACATACGCATGCACGAACACGCACACACAACACACTCACACATACACAGATCGTAAAATGTGTTGAATGTATAACGCACTAATTCTTGTTCTTATAAATGAGACATAAATGTAGGCGGCGCAAATTCACCTTGAACGGGGATACCGATGTTATTATTAATAACGTCGCGATGCGTGTGGATCTTGCGGATCGAGCCACTATATTATTAAAACACGTTAAGTTTCATAGTTGAATGAAAAGATTGTAAAACTCAGGAGGTCCGCACCGCGATTTAGAAATTTAAGAAAGGGGCAACCGCGCGATTCTTTCGTCATCATTGTCGTCGTTGTTGCCGAGATTCGGCGCACCGCTTTGTATCGTACGCAGTATTACTTTGTATAAAACAAAAAAAAAAGATGGAAAAGATTTGCGGACTGCTGTTATCCCCGTGAAACGCGCAAGGATTTTTCGATTCTCAATTACATAAAACACTGAGGAATGCGAGCTCGTCATACGGGCGAGAACGAACCGTTCCTCATTGTCCCGACATAATGCGGCATAAGAACTATAAAAAAATAAAAAGTAAACGATAACACGAAGAGAAAGATAGAGAAAGAAAGAGAGAATGAGAGGAGAAGAAGCGGCGTTAGCGGGTGAGAAACACCACGCGTTTTTAAAACACATGTGGATAAAAATCATAACGAAATATCATAACGAGGCAAAAAGAAAAATAGAAAAAAAAAACAAGGAAAGAAAAACAGCACACGACAAATTGTTCATAGATTATTTTTTATTATCATGTGAATACAGAATATATATCAGCAATAAAAATTGTTATACGTATTATAGACTGGCGTGTACGTATGTGACCATTTTACATACACAGCGACGCGTACCTAACTCCCACACTCTTATGCGACGCGTGTACATGTTCACTCGTATATCTATTGTACATATTTATATGGCACTTTAAATAACAAATCGATACATTGTTGATTTTTATATTACTGTTCTACCTTGAAATAGCATCCGTTCATAACCGAAATATAGATGTCCTAAGATTCGTCGGGACGTGTTCCGAGGGTCGATCTCCTCGAAATGAAAAATTTACACAGAGTATTCTTAACTCTTTCTCGTGGGGGCGGGAGATCTCTTTTATATATGTACATATATAATAATATACATAACATGATTCAATCAATGAAATTATAATTTTCTGTCACAACACAGCATGCATTTCATTATTATTCATTTGATTAGTAGCCACAGGAGCAAAGATAATTATGACGGTAATTAAGATGTCGCGGTGCGTCCTCACGATATAACTGTCTAAATTTTCCTTCGTTCTTATCATCTTCTAACCATCTTTGCGTTCTAACCATCTTCGCGTTATTCATAAAGATTCTTCTTATTTTGTTACTTCGACACTTTCCTCCTTATCTCGAGAGATATATCCACTTCGCGCTCAGTGTTGGCTGATAACGTCGATTCTGGAATAATTTGGTCGTATATAACTATATATTTCAAGTTGGAGTTTCGCGTAATAGGTAAAAGTTAGATCGCGATAGAACGGATAAAGGCACTCTGGCGCAGCTTACTTAGACTTGGACGAGTGGAAAGATTCTCTTTTCTCGATCGTATGTAGACGTACTGTGTTGGATAGTGTTCGGGCGACGTGAGCCTTCGTTACCCGACCCTTGTGATCGTTGCAACTCGTATCCTCCATCCAAAACTTTTGCGGGATTTTCGGACGGACGTATACAAGCGCCTCGTTACAAGTTATCCTCAAGCCTGAGTTACAAAATATAACAGATAGTTTTAGACTTTGTCATATTTAAAAGCAATTTGTGGAAAAAAAAATAACTTGAACGTTATTAATTTTAATTTCCCCGAGGCGCCGATGCTTACTTCTATCCGACTTGTTGGTAGACTCGCATTCGTGTCTCGTTAGTTTGTGCTGTAAAGAGAAAGAAAAACAGACACGCGTGTTTTCCAACATACGAGAATTTCCCTGCGAAGGTTAGTTTCACTTTAAGCATAGGACGTAAAGGCGTGCGTAAAAAAGGAAAAAACGTTTATATAGGGATAAGGGGAAATATTAGATCGCGGAATAAACGAGAGCAGAGCGGCTATAGTTACATCGTTTCCTCTGAGAGAACATTGCTGGCATTGGACCGCGGCTATTTGCGTGCCGTCCAGATGGCCGTTTCGGCGATGATGGGATCCGTGCGAGGAGAAGATACACGCGCTCTGGCTCGCGTGTCTCAGCCTGCCATACAGCCCATACTTCCTCTCGTCGGCGGGTCGTAATGTGCCGTTCCTCTTCATTGCCGTGTATATCTGCTCGAGCATGCCGTAGCTCTTGATGAGAAAATCCCTCTGCGCCAGTGCCGTGATTCGCTCTCTCTCCTCCGACTCTGATATGATTTCGGGCTCGAAGGAGTATAGAATGCTGTTGGTGGTAGGAGCTCCTTGCACGTCCTGTTTATTGATCTGCGAAAAAGTAGCAGGACGGTAATACACGCTCCCTCGTTTGCTTTTCTTTTCCGTGAGAAACGATGGAGGAGAGATCCCGCAAGGATCGGTACATTACTGTGGAAAGCGCTGCGAAAAGCGATAATGATACCTGCGATGTTGTGCAGTCGTTGAAATGAACCACGACTAAATGGACGAGTAGCGAGAAAAAGAAGCGGTGCATCAATAAAGCAAACACAGACGGTCATACATAATTCTCGTTTTCCTCGGTGATTTTGAACAACAAGAAAAAATGCAGATAAAACGCGATTGAACTTAGAGGATAAGTCGATTAAATACACTGACGCTTTTCTTGAATATGCCCGCGGGTTTCTCCTGTCGCAGTAACGTGCAGTGCAATTTCTTCGGTGCACTCGGACTTTCCGGGCTTATTTTGTGCTCGCTCCATTTCCCGGATATTCTCTTGCGCTCTTCCTCCCGCACTTTTAGCTGAAACGTAGCAAAGTAATCCGTATAGATGAAGAGAAGCTTAAAAAGCAATTAGCGACGAGACGCGGTTTAATTTCGGGAATTATCAATTCGAACGATCAATTGACACATTACGCATTTTCTATAAATTTTCTTATTATCTTAATAGAAAATTATTATTAGTGTCGTTTAATAAATTTGTATAATATTATTCAATAGAGACGCGTATCGAATCGTTTCTCAACTGCGTCAGTTGTCGAACGATGATATCGATCTTTAATATGCTCGTGACGTTAACGCGAGGAAAATTTAGTCGCCGCGACTTTAGAACGATGTCGTAAAACGGTGGGAAAGTTTACTTCGTTCTCCTCCCTCTGTATCCTCGATGCTTCCTCTCGCGCCCTCGACGCCACCGTATCTTGGAAAACGGAAAGCGCACTTTGCGTGAAGAAAGGTCGGTACTTATCCTCGTCGGGGCACGGAAAGATTCTTCGAAAATTGCCCGTGTGCTCGTCCTCCCACTTAAATTGTCGCTGTGTGTAATCGTTCTCATTCTTTTCGGCCTTCGTTGGAGTTGTCGCGTCGTTAGTTTGACTGCACGTTGTACATGACATGTAGGTTTATCGTAACACCTGATTTTCACTATCTGCCCCGCGAAAGCGAAATTAATCACCAACACATACCATACGCGCTCAATCAATCGTATGACAATATCTCGTGTCTTGTAAAGCAAGAAATCTTACCGTGAAAATCTAACTTTGAAGAGGAACAGAGAAAGAATCGAAATTGTAAAAAAGATGGAAATTTTATTTCCTATTTGTAGGTCATGCGCGAGACATCGATAGAGATTGATTAATCGTGACGGTGATGCAGTACTCGTATGTGCCGAGAGATTAATCGCGCAACTATAAATCATCGTGTGGTCCCTCGGTACTCGATTTACTTGTAACCCTACCTATTTATACCCTGAAGAAGCCGCTCCCTGATACGCTTCCTATCCTCCTCTATTATCTTCTTCTTGTCGCATTGCTGTAGATTTAATATATCGAAGGTGTCCATCAGCAGTCCTTCCTTTACGTCCTTATCTAGTTGAGCGTCCGTGTGAAAGCTCGGCGAGTGATTAACCTGCAATGTATTTATCGATTATTTTCCATACGGAATATGAAGATATCTTCTTTCAAAGCTTCTTTTCGAAAATTTTCCCAGAACTTGTTATGCGCACGTGCTAGGACTTTCTTTATAATAGTTCTCTCTCTCTCTCTCTCTCTCTCTCTCTCTCTCTCTCTCTCTCTTTCTCTCTCTCTCTCTCATAACATTTATAAATAATTTTTATAATTCTCCATAAAAATGCACAAGATATTTGACGATATCCTCTTTCTTAAACTCTCAGTATATCATCAGAATTCATAGAACCCAATTTTAGTTTTTAAATTTTCTTTTCGAGTAGTTTTATTTCTGTTTATAAAGTTTGATATCTCATGATATCTTCCTAAGAGATTTAAAAGAACAAAGAAAAAATTTCTTGTTTCTTTGAATAGAATAAGTTAATCCTTTAAGTTAATCAATTCCACGATGGTACATCGAGAGTTAATACGTATATTTTCGTATATTTACCTCGAGAAGATAAGGTTTGAGTTTCCAGTCGATTAAAATGTCAAATCCCAGAAGCTCAAAACACGCGGACGTTTTATCGTGCGTGGGAAAGCACGCGTGATAACTGTGCTTTAATACAGGGTACGCTGCGAACACGGTTTTAATTATGATCTCGTCGATCTTGACCCATAGTTCGTCCACGTCGATGTTCTTTGCTTTCAGCCACTTGTTCAACACCGATATCTTCCTGTAAAGCGCAATTTACGTTCTTCTCCTCCCTCGACTCGCTTTACCGGTCTTGCCGATTTTATGGAGTTTCAAGCGCGAACCTTTTGCTGCCGATCTGGTCGTCGATGATGTACATTCGGCTGTGCTTGTTGATGGCGTAATTCGTCAGATGCATAAACATATTGGTGGTATTGTGACCGGTCGGTTCCTTGTACTTGCTCGTCGCGAATCTAAAAATGTAACGTTTCTCGCATCACCCGTAAGCGCGTCGCGGATACATAATTTTAAAAAACGAAGATCAACAATACGTAAACGTGCACGCAACCCGAAAATCCGCGATGGTTGAAACCCGTTAATTAGAACGTGTATATACTCTGAATAAAATATTTACTAGTTCTACGTGATTTCTATCTAGTAATTGCAAACGCATGCCTCACCTGGCGAGTCCTTCGTTGTAAACGTAGATCCTGAGAGGATCGCATGACGTGATTAGTGCGTAAATACGTAGGTCAAATTTGTAGCCGTCTATTAAGAAGGGCTAAGGATGTGGTAAGAAAAAGGACTGTATGCATTATACTTGCTTTGCGTTGCGACTGCGAAGTTCTATAATTAAGGTTACGGTAGACGTACATATCGGAAAATGAGCCGAACGAGTTTCTAAAGCGATTACTTTTAAGTTTTATTTTAAACGCGTGGAAAATGAAATTAGTTTGCTTTCTTTTCTCCTTCTGTTTGGAAGACTAATGAAGTTCCATAAGCAACGAACTTTTTTCCGTATAATTTCACGGTATAATTATTTGTGTATCTCCATACCCGTGCGATATACACTTGACAGATCAAGCGCTCGTTGGATTTGATGTCCTTCAAATGTTTAGTCAGGTAGATACCGCGCCCTTGGCAACCCGTGTCCGGCTTGATGATGAAAGTTCTTGATCTACGCGACTTGGCATAAATCATCGCATCGCCGTGACTGGAATCCAAAATCCGAGTTTCCGATCCGCTTACGCGTTTCTCATCGTCGATTTGCGAGATATCGATTATTCTTTATCGCCGTAACGGCGACCCCTAGGAATTTACGACTCGAAACCCGACCGGCTATTCGAAGAAGTAAAACAACGCGAGTCTCACGCTTGTAAAGTAGATAAGAGCGCCTCTGATCGATCGATCGGCCGACAACCACGTATGTGTTCTCTACGACACATGAAACGTGTCTTGCGACACGTGAAACCAGCTTGAGAAATCGCAACGTGAGATTTTATTACGTCGCCTGCAAATACTACCGTCTTAATTAAATACTCGAATTAATTATATACTCAAATATTGAGTTTCAATCAAAAACATAGAGCAGTTAGTTCTATTAGATACTAAAAACTATGTTCGAGAATATTTTGTCTTTTTCTCGTTAAACAATCGCGACAAGATATATCATAAAAAAAAAGTATTCACGTAGAGTGTCTAGTGAACAAACGAAGATATTTTTTTCAATCGTCTCGTCTCAATTTGAACGGAAAAACTCGTCTTCGTTAGCTAAGAATACGATAGCAAGTGTCGTTAATTAGTTGTTCTCTATCGACGTTATTACCGTCGAAATGAGCGAATTCTCTTACTCCGCGGGGAAGCACCAAGTCTTCGGGAAGAAGTTGTAGTCCCGCGGGAACAGTTTCAGCATGCGATTGAGGTTACGAGCGAGCAAATCCTTCCTACATATCTCCGTCATGCCGGGGAAGTGATTGACCCTCTGGAACCTCTTCATGTCCTTAGCACGCTCTATGCTGACGCTTAGGTCGGTCCAATAGAGATCCCAGCTGCTGTCCTCCGTGACCTCTTTCATCCCGAACTGTGCGGCCACGCGTCTAACCACGTCGTACTTGCAGTTGCTCGTACAGATGGTTAAGAATCTGCTTTTCAATCGGTAGCTTCAGTCTCGGTTCGCGACGACGAATGTTTCGAAACTTGAGAAATCGAGTCGACTCCGCCGACGTACCTCCGCTTCCTCTTCTTCTTCGTCCCCGAAGTTTCCACTGTGTCGTCCTTACGTCGCTCCGTGTCACTTTCTTCGTGCAATGGCTCTATTTAGAAAACTCTTTATTCACATAGCGGTAAACTTGGACATATAACAAAAGCAGTTTTCCCCTCTGAATTATTTTATCATGTACAACTCATTCCGGCATAATTGTGTCAAAGTTAAGCAACCATTTATTTTTACACCCGCGCGAAAATCCTGTATTATATTTTTTACCAGATCTCCTCCAATACAATCAATATCTGTTTCTTTTTTTAATTTAGATATAAGGCCGACTTTTTCAATTCTCTTGGTACACTAATTAACAATTAAGTTATACATGTATCTTTGTTTTTCTTTCGAACTAGACAAAGACAGACGTATAATTTAACTGTTAACTGGCTTGTCAAGAGATTGGGAAAATCGGTTCTTATTCATATAGATAAATAACGTGTTTTACGTTAAAATTTGTTATGAAATTTAGCTTCTCGGTTCTGTCAGATTTTTATTAATATCGAATGAGGACTTACCTGCATTCTCACCTTTGCCCATGGTAATTTTCCATTTATAATTTTCCGAGTCATGCTTGATTACACCTATCCTGTCGTTAGCGACCGATGAAACGTGCGAGAAATCGTCGAAAACCACGGAGCTCCGATTTTGAAACGCGGTCTCGCGCGATCGCTCCTCGAAACTGGTGTCAGATTCACTGGCACTTTCGCCGTCTGTCGCGTCTTCGCTTCTGAAACTATGATGTTTAGACCCGCGTGATATCACCGGCGAGTAGTTATCGTTGTGCTGAACGACGATCATGGTTGGTGCTTTCCATTATTTGATTCTTTTAATCGTACTGTCACATCGCGCGCGCGCAACGACGACGGCGACGGCAACGACGTCAATCAAGTGTTAACTTCAGTCTGAATTTAATCTTTTTCAAATTTACATTTGCCCAGCTAGACACGATAAATCACGTGACGTCTTCCCCAATCGTTTGTGGATCGATAATGTTTTTATTTTCTTCTTCCGCTCAAATGTCGATAAATTTTGGCAAAGGCAATCCTCGAAAGTTTGTCGCAGATCATTCGCTATTTATTGTCTGCTATCTTCAAGCTTTTCAGTTTCAACTCTATGACTATTCTAAAGCGCTATTCGTAGGAGTCACTTAAATTAATATTAATCTAATGTTGCCGACTCATACAACAATTAATTAATTTAATTTATTAATACTTAATATCTCAATAATAATCGTGCACTACTTGTTACGTGTCCACAGTATATTCAGTTTAACAATATATACAGTAATTAAAATTTACATATTTATAATATTTACACGCTTAAGTAATGTCGAGTTTTAGACAGAAACAATCCAGAAGCCATAAAATAAATCGTTTAGGATATTAGAATGTTAGAAAGTTAAAAAGTCGGAAAAATAAAAACGACCTCTCGTGGAGATTTCTTTGAGTGAAAATCGATTAGGAGATTTTTCTGATAATAACCGGCCTACGTTGCTTGTATAATCTACGTACCTGTCGATATTCGCGATATTCCCGCGTTTAAGCTCGGCGACGATAAGACACTAACTGCTGCTAGGCGAAACTGATAGGGATCGGACTGGGTCGGGACACGCGTCGCGACGACGTCTAGGTTGACGCGACCACTGCGGCACGGTCTACACGTAAGGTATCTCGGTAGTTCGGTTTGGTGCTTTAATTACAGCCGACGACCATATTTAGAAATTGTGCAGTTACAGAAGTAATCACGACACGAAACTTTAAATAGGTTGCTGCGCAGCAGATCGAACGCTCTCGCGCGCGCGTTTACGCTTGTTTCTTGACGTTTAATTACGTTGACTTTTTGCCGTCGTTACGCGAAGCGACAGCCAGGGCCCAGGGTAAGAATTGCCAGGATATCGATCAAGTGTTGAAAACAAGTACAGACGACGCGAAACGGTCGCTGGACAGGGACGAGGTTTGTCCGCGAGTGTTCGCTCGTTACGGGATATAGAGCAAGAATCCGATGCAAGCCTGGCCTGAAAATTCCAACCCCGACAATTAAAAAAGCACGGAAAACCCGGCGGGAATAATATTCAGCGACACGACCCTCTCGACAGTGCGACGTAGCGCGGCGCGCGCTGACGGCGGAGGGTTGGAAGAAGGTTGAGAGCAGCCACGGTTATGCGGGTAAAAATGTAGGAAGGATAAAAAGTTTATATTCGTTCTGTCCCTGGAGTTACAGTTTGGAGTTTAATTCGGGTACTTTCAAGTTCCTTATCATTTCCACGACGTCCACGGCACACCCCCAGGATAGCGTCACGCCACTTCCGCCGTGACCGTAATTGTGTATCACCTGAAGTATAAAACACGAGACAAGCGAGAGTTATTATGGCATATGCGAGGATAGGCGACCGAATTTTGTATTGCGCTCGAAACGCGACTTGCGCCGCCGTGGTTGTTGTCAGAAGAGCTCGCATGCATACACGTGTGCGTGCAGGCAACAGCAGCGACGTTCGGCTTCGAGTGCAATATTTTCTGGCGATTCACCTTGAACTCCTTTCGCCCGGGCGTGCGGAGGTTTTCGCATTCCAGACGAACCCGCGGTCGTCCTGGTCGAAGGCCCACCCACGCGCGACTTATTCGAGCCGCCTGCAATGGAAATTATGATTGAACCGTGATTTACGTTGCTCGACCGGCCGGTCGCGACTTTAGAAACTTATTCGCGAACCTTCAGGGACGGCATCACACGGCAGCATCCGGCGTGAATGCGCTTCGAGTCCTCCTCGCGAACGGTGCAGTCGAAATCGTTTTCTTGATGCGTGCCTCCCAGCACGACGTCCTCGACGCTACGGATAGAGAAATTGAAAGAAAGAGAAAAACAATTTCGTTGATATATGCAAGTGAACATCATTATTTCAATATTCGCTTTACTTAGGGATGATGTAATAGGTCTCGTCGTCGTCCACCATGAAACATTGCATCGTCCAAGATGCCTTTACCTTAAACAGATTCTTCTATAATTAATTTTCCTGTCTGCATAGAGATGATAAAGTATCAAAAAAGAAAGAAAAATGTGTATTCTATCGATATTTTAATTAAAAAGAAAGAAAAAGATGTTTTCCAATTGAATTTCTGAATATTTTTTTTTAGTTAGTAGTTTCTTGTTAAACTTATCGATCTTGAATTTAGAATACATCCATGTTGGCGTTGAAGCGCAAGCGAATCCACGATTGCAAACTTTTGCAATAATTCGAACGGATAAAGGGATGAGACATGCTGCAATGTAAATTGGACGGTCGATTACCTTGTATACCTGACCTCTGATAGGTGTCACCGTTTTATCCGCGACGAGTTCTCGTGCACCGAGCCCGCTGCAATTTATTACTAAATCGTATCCTTCCTCGGCCAACTCGTGCAACGCTCTCACGTTCCTTCTCTCCGTCTTCCCGCCCAGAGTACTAAACTTTTTCATGAGCCACGGCAATAGTAGAATCGGCTCAGCGGTATACGTTAGAAAATGCCACCCTATTCTGAAACCGTTGATTACGACGTCGTAAAATACGTAACGAAAAAAAATGGAAGAAAATAAATAATAACTGGCAACGAGACGATTTATTCGAGCGAATGATTGTAATGGTAATTCAGTATCAAATTATATTGCTTAAAGTTTGGGCTGATAGGGTGTGTTTGTGGAAGCGAAAGAGATGGAGAGAAACGTCACTTTACAACTTCCTCAGGTTGATGAGAACGTACTTGTAATTAGACTTGTGCTCCTCGTTCAGACGCCGTAATTGCTCGTCACTGAGTTTCTGGGTGCCATAGACAAGTTTCTCCCATACCGGATCGGTGTCGCACTCGTAACCGCTCGTAACGCGAGTTACAGGCACTAGAGAGACGCCGGTCTCCGACGATAATCCGAATTTCCACAATTGCTCGAACCAGCGGTGAGTGCGGCCGGCCCATCGGCTAACATGATACGATTTCAACAGAATATCAATCGTCGCGACATTTGTTGAGCGTTAAAAATACAGGTCGTTTCGGGCTCATTTATCACTTATTATACCCATGTAAAAATAACGAGGAGAGGAGAATACTCGACAATCTTCTCCACGCGATCCTTCGTTTTTTCGACTACGCGCGACCTCAGGTAGTCAGGATATGTTTTTTTTGTTGGTGGAGGACACAAAGGGGATGTACTCACTATATATGCTCGGCAGGCGTGTCACAGAGAAGAAAAGGACCCCACAGACCAGCGCTTCCATCGCCGGTGGTGTCGGGTGAAAACGCGTCGGCGAAGATCTTCACGTCGTAGGTCGGAAAAGCGCTTTTCACCGCGAGCGCGCTCGTTACTCCTATTACACCGGCGCCGACAACCGCTACGCGCATCTTTTTCGTCGATTTTCACTGGCGCCTCTTTTCTACAGAAATTATCATCGGTACAGCTTCGGCGAGCAGTTTTGGTGTACTTTTGAATTTCGACGCTGAATAGCTGGTATCGTCGATTGACCTCGATTGACCTCGATTGACCTCGATTGACTTTTTTCTATTTTTAACGATTTTCCCTCTCTCTACTCTGTTGTCAGAACCACGATTGAGGAGAGGCAAATATTAAATTAAATTGCTAATTACGTTCAATTTTCCCGTGATGATGTATTTTAGCACGTATTATTTAATGTTTGTTAATTAATTAATCGTTTGATATTAATGAACTTGTGATTCTTTCGAAATTGCTTGGTATTAATTTAATCGATATTAAAATTCAGCGAGTTATAAGAATATTTATGCAAAATTCCCAAAAATTCGTAGAGTTATTATTCAGTTACACGTGATCATTAGATTTACGTAAAATCTATTTATATTTCTATATTCGTGGTATCCAGTTTATATTCGCGACATTAATAATCAAGCACGACCGTCGTCGTGCGAGACACATCTTCCTCATCGTCTGCGGCATTGTGAAATCGAACTTACCGAAATTGTGCCGGTGTTTCTCGACCCCTTTCTCCTCTATCGCGTGCCTCCGAGATATTCGCGCGAGAAACGCGTTTGCGACACCGCACGGGGGAGAGAACGCGACCGCGAAATTAATAACGTGACTCGTGTCACCCGTGCTCGGCGAATTCTTCGCGTGAATTGCCGTCACGATATTACTGATGTATGCGCATCGGTAGCGCACAACAACAATAATAATAATAATTGTAACGAGGTCGAGGGGATCGATAACCCCGGTGGGAATCGCGGAAATATCTCTTTGACGTTGCGCAAATGCGTACCTAATGACCGTTCCAGCGTGAGCGACCGCAGCTCCAATTGTTGAAACGGCACGACGAAAGACTGGACACGCTCCTCGCAATCACATTCGCTGCGATTACAGACGTCGTTATCGCGGCAGCCAGATACGTTAATGAAATACGAATATCTTTGTTATCGCGAGGCAATCTTGAAAATTAAAAAAAAAAGATATAGATAGATCGCGAAGTATCTGTGATGTTCTTCCCGCTTTGCGTCGCCTGCACTTGCGTCGCCTAATCTCCGACAAATACGAAGAAAATAGTTAATTACGTCTCAAAGATTACTTAGGTGCGTCCTCACGCACCTTATCGCGAAGCTTGTGATGACACGTGGGACTGCTCAATTACTCCCAGAGATTCTAGCATTCGCGATACCCTATATTCCTAGCATAATGCCTCGCAACAACACGGCTGAGTTATGCTGGAATATGGGAGTCGCGAAAATCGAACGCATCAGGAGCTCTCCCGCCTGGATTCTGCCTGCCGTGGTTCTGGGTGATCCTGTCGCAACCGTACTGCGGATAAACGGAGCATAATACTTCTAAGAGTACTCTACAAAGTTCTTACGCTCTGTTTACCGACAGCACAATGCGCACATTTTACACAAACACGTTGTATCACCACACTAAAACTGCGAACACTATCGGATGTGTCGGTTGTCCGAAACCTCGTGGGTCTAGTTCAATACCTGTCGCACGCAAAAACAAAAAATTATCTTCTTTACAAGACTATCGCGGAAATGCTCGAAGAAGGCGGCCATTATCTTTCCTACATTATCGGAATAATTAGTACAATTCAGAAGTTCGACTAAGTGTGATAAATATTTCGGAACTTTTCCGGTGATATATTTAACTGTCGCGTTATTTCTCATTAATTGTACGTTTCCGAGTGAGTGACTGTTATAATCTCTACCTCATTGGTTTTGTCGCTATTTGTTTTATGTCACTCGGCATTTCACATAATTGAAAGCTATTTTACTTTTCTTTTTTCAGAATTTTCTAACAATATATACTATTTGAGAAATCCCAGTATCACATTTACGCCAATCGCACAATTATTCCGATCGAAGTCGTATTTCCGCGGAATTACGACACGCTAAATCACTTTCATCGATCTCACGGCGATTTTCGCACAATCGCGTCTTCGACGATTGCGAGGCGAAAAGTTCACCGAATCGCGGGAAACGTTGCTCCGAGATTTTCCATCTTTCCCGGCGTGGAGCTACTTCGACGTTTCACAATTCGATCCTCCTCACTGAACTCAAGACGCGAAGTGTTGTCGTTCCGTAAGACGACTGACTGAAGTGCCTGATGACACTTCGATATATAGAGTATTTATTTACACCGTATGCAAGTGCCCTAGACATAATATGGCCCGGAAATGTGATAAAGGGTGTAGGTGACAGCACGAAACCAGAGAACCTATCGCTGCGAGCGTCCTCTTGTGCGTCGTTATTTTGAGAGAAATCTTATATTACGTCACGTTTGTCGTTACCGCGCATTCTCGCAAAAGCGCACGATTTTATCTTAATTTCTTTCCTCAACTGAACGATACTGCTCTTGTTTCCTTATTTTTCGCAGGTCCGAGTTGCAAAAAGTCGCTCAAAAGCGGCACTCGTCGCTTCACGAATCTAACGAGAATAATAACAATCAGTCGTTGAATTTCTTCTCGCTTATCTTGAACGGCAGATTTTTATTCCTGCGTAGCGATGGCTACGTAAAATTGTCTTAGCGGAAAAGTATTGAGAAGAAACAACTGAATCCTCATCTCACAATCCTCTCGATAATCGGAGTCAATTCGTAGGGTCGTCGAATTCGAAATAGCGAGTGAGTCCGAGCTCGCATTTTCTCGTGTAATAAAGAAACGTGAAAAAAACACGAGAAACGATACCGCCGCGGAACGATCCGATAATTGTGCTCCGACTTGACGATAACGATAGCTCGCTTGGTGTCACTATGGTGAGGTGAGGCCGGCGAAAATATTCGCTCATTATCGCGGTACACCTGATCGCACCCACGATCAGCCGGGATAGCCTGAGGAATACGCTTGCATTTGCAACTGCGCGAGCGAGTCGCTCGTCGGTTTCGGATAACGGACACTAAACGAGCGGGTCGAAGTGATATCCGAAACCGTTACCAGCGATATAAATACCTCTCGTAGCATTATATGACGCGAGCCACGAGCTTTCTTGAGAATCTTTCAATGAACGTCGTTTGACGTAATTAAATAACTCCGTGACGAGCAATGATTCATCGAAATTTCGTTCGATCGTCGGTGAGCCGACCGAGGAAACAGATTTACGAAATCAAGAGTTTCTATCTTTTCCGAGTTTTCTCGATCGCTGAACTTATTAACTTCTAATATTTAATGGTTTGAAGTATACATATTACGATAGGAGATGCTTTTATTGCTTTTTTGGGATACTGCAAAAACGAAAGTTTGTCGATTATGTTGCCTCGTTCTCTGTGAGGGAGGATTGTATATAAGATCGCATATAATTTATTGAGTTTTCAACGTATTTATTTACAATGCCTCTCGTGGACTCTTTATCGATTTTCTAACAACTCTAACACAGTTTTACGTGCGGTCAGCTAACAGTACCCCTTTTCTTTGTTTGAATTCACAATGGGCGCTTTGTAGGAGCGCCGTTCGCGTCGCGCATGCGTAAGTTCATACAACGCACCGGGCACATCCGCTTTCTTTAACATGAGATAGCTATACGTTTGAGGTCCGACGACAGAGAGTGGGAAAGAAAGAAGTGACGAGGTGGTGCAGAAAGTGTAGTGCAAAGTGCAGATGTTAAACGAAAGTCGCGAAGAGGTTAGATGAGAGAGTTTATATATGACGCCAACGTTGAGTATTTCAGGTATTACGGACATTTGTTAACGTATAGTGTTCTAAGGATAAGTTGCACACGGTACGTAAACGTTTAATCGAAATACTTACTTTACTCGGTTAACGTGGCCCACGTCTCTCACGAATTTCCGCTGGAAATGACATAACCTTTACCGCGCGGTGTGATACACACGTGCTTGGAAAACCGAAACTTTGTACAATACAAGTGATATTAGTGAGATTTATTTTGTTGACACGATGTTCGAGGCGCACAGCATCGTCGCGGATCATAAAGATCTCATACACGATATCGCCTATGACTTCTACGGTCAGCGAATGGCAACATGCTCGACTGACCAGTGTGTAAAGGTACGATAAATGACGATGGTTTACGTTATTAAAGACCTGAGTTGTTATCGGCTTCATAAAACAAGCACTATTATAAACTGTAAATTGTTTCCGCGCTGTGAAACATGACAGGTTTGGGACGAAGATGAGCATGGAAACTGGCACTTGACTGCATCTTGGAAGGCTCACAGTGGTGCAGTGTGGAAAATTACTTGGGCACATCCAGAATTTGGTCAGGTTCTTGCTACCTGCTCATTCGATCGCACTGCTGCTGTCTGGGAGGAAATTGGTATTGGGAATTGATTTCTCTGGGACAGGAGAGTTTGGTTGTATTGTTTTATTATTTTCTTCTCACTCCCCTTCCTATTATTTGATAGTTGGCCAAGGTTCTGGATCAGGAGCACGTGGGAGTAGACACTGGGTTAAGAGAACCAACTTAGTGGATTCACGTACTTCTGTCACAGATGTCAAATTTGCACCAAAGACCCTGGGTCTTTTGTTGGCTACTTGCAACGCAGATGGATTTATTCGAATATATGAGGCACCAGATATCATGAATCTGAGTCAGTGGACATTACAGCATGATATCAATTGCAGGCTTTCATTGAGTTGTCTCACATGGAATCCGTCTCTGTCGAGGTATTATTGCATAATGCACAAGAGATAATACAGAATTAAATACATCCGATGCAGTGGGAAACTTTGATAGTGGAATATATAAAAAAGATAATAAAACTCTAAATATATTTGCTAAAATGAAAACTTGAAGAAGTACATAAAAAGAAGTAATGTGTGAAAGTAAAATAAGAAGTTGAAGACTAAAATGACAAGTTACATAATATAAAGTCAAATAGGAGAAAATTGCAGTATGTATAAGAAAATTGGACTAAAACGTATTTCAGGCTACATCCGCCCATGATAGCAGTAGGTAGCGACGACATAAATACATCCAGTGGAGCGAAGGTCTTTATTTACGAATATTCTGAAAGCAGTAGACGTTGGACGAAGGCGGAGGCGTTGTCAAACATCACAGATGCCGTCCACGACATCGCGTTCGCTCCCAATTTAGGCAGAAGTTATCATACGCTGGCCATAGCAACGAAGGATGTGCGAATAGTTACCTTGTCGCCGACTCAGTAAGTAGAGACGTTTCGAACGCTAGTAAAGGAGAGGTAATTGCAGGCAGATCGCGCCATTCGCGTACGTTATATTTTTTCTTTTAAGGGACAATATGCAAAACGACGTGTCGCGTTACGAAATAACCGTGGTGGCGCAGTTTGACGATCATTACTGTACCGTGTGGCGTGTTTGCTGGAACGTCATGGGTACGATCTTGGCGAGTTCCGGTGACGACGGCTGCGTCCGCTTGTGGAAGGACAATTACAACAACAATTGGAAATGCGTGTCCGTTCTCAAAGGAGACGGTACCGGTCAGAACGCCGAGACTCCGGCGACCCCGCCGAGCTCGTCGGCCGGGCAACAGCCGCCGTCTACCACCAGGTACTACAAACTGGGTTCCATCAGTCACCCAAACCAAGTGCCTTGGCATTAGAGGACCTAATCAAATTCCTAGAATAAACAATTGCCAGTTATTTTTTTGCGTTTTACCGTCTACCGCGCCGTTTGTACCAAATGGAAAATACAAGGTGTACACTCTTTGTTACGATAAAAATTGCCATTCACAAACCCGCTCTCCTCTCCACGTAGATCTCCTCTGCTTATTGTTTCACTTATAATTTGGATGTCTGCGCGATTCGCGTCAATGTAACGTGGGTCTCGAATCGTAGTCGCAAGTGCTGGACGCTTATGTTACTTTTTACATCGCATAACGCATAACGCTGTTCTGCACTGCTCTTATTGAGACGTTCTGTCAGCTCACACCTGTCTCGCGTTGTTAACTGGAAATTTCAGAAGTCATTTTTGTAGAATAAGATTGTCTTTGAGGATACGCGTTATTGTACGGATGTGCACTCGGTCGTTGAGATCGAATATAATTAAAATAAGGTGCAATTAAAATCAAACAGAAGGTGATCGTATGTCGAAATTTGAACAAATACTCTTATACTCGCGAGTTTGTCGCGAGACAAATGACGCTCAAGGGATTTGTAACACATAGACGTACGGGCACACATGCATTGAAATTTAATCCGTTTAATTAATTAATAAACGCTGTATTTCTGTATCGCATTTTGAATACTTTTTCGTTTTTCTCCTCCCTCATTCTATGGCTTGGTTGAACTCGTCACCGCGATAGTTAATGGTTTATTTCTGAAATCTTTTCAATCGTATCTGGGGAGGAATGCGGTGGGGTCTTTTGTTTGTCGCATTTTATCACGTTTTCTGCGTGAGACTTCACTCCCGTTCGTTTAGGCGTTTATATACCGCGTCGTTAATGGCGCGCGGTCTCTCCTACACTCTCGCCGCGTCTCTGAATAATCTTTGTTACCGTTTCAGGACTGTAAGCATAGCCACGGTTACGGCGGAGAAGCCGACAGCTACCGTCGTGTGCAGTAATAAGTGGCAACCGCCGGTTATAAAGGGTCGCTTTAGTAAATCCGTGTGGTTGGGTAATCCCAGCGAGCCGACTCCGCCACCACCGCCGATCTTAGAATGTCCGAAAGCAAAGAAATAATTTGCGGAAAGAACAGAAACAAATGATCCGCTCGCTACTCTCGGCGCAATACGTGATCTTTTAAGTATTATTCGAGCGCGATATTCGCGATATACTTGTGCAGACTCGATTACGGTATCGCGATATAACGCGCGTGTAACATTCAATGTGCCGTTCGTCGCAGAATCAAGCCGCGAGGTCAGTCTCGACTGTGTTCTCCTGATTGATCTCTCGTGCTGATCTTTTGGACGTCACATATCGATAAGCACATTGTGATAATTGCTGTTTTCGGCGTAATACTTACTTTATTTTCTTTTTTTTTTTAGAGATTTTTTAGACTCCTTTTATATTCTTTTATCGACGTTTGAAGATTAGATTCTCTTGATGCAACATAAGAATCTGCGAGAATTCCGTCGTTTTCGAGTAGTATTTTTTGATAGATGCATTTTTCAGGAGGTCCGCGGTCAATTATCCGAATACATCGCTTCATTTTTATTATCACACAGTAAGAAGTAACGTTGTTTTTATATGTACTGTTTGTCTTTTATTCGATAGCACAGCGATTGGCTGTGCGATGTTATAAAGCACGAAATTACGTGTGCGTGTTTACATTTTTACGAATTGTCAATCACCAGACTTTATTACTTTTCATTTTTTTCGGGACAGTGATCCAATATACTTACAAACGCTGAAAATAAAACGTTTCGTTCGACGAAACACTTGTCCCATTTTTACATCCGCATTTGCGCGTGAATCAAATATACAAATTGTAACATAATGTAAAAATTATGTATAATACACAAATATAAAAGTGAGTGAAATGAACACGAATAGTTTCCGACTGGATATTCTTCTTTGCTGCGTGATATCACGATACATGAATGAAATTTACGATAAATGACGGTAGTTGCATATAATAAGTTTCAAAGCGAGACATTCACATTGAGGAACAATTCCCTCGATATATTCAGATCGTTGCTCTCTCATCGAGTCGTTTCACGAAGAACTCCGTGACCAAGCAAAAAACGCAGCCACGAAGATCTTATATGCGCGGACGTTTTGCCTTCATATGGAGGGCGAAGTTCCGATACTAAAACTGAAAATAGCGCGTTGCAGAATTAATGTATATAAATATGTAAAGCATAATCGATATTTCAGAAGCCAATGAATATCATAACCGAACCAACGAGAAAAAGCCTCTTAGACGTGGTGCGGTGCAATCTTCGCGCCGCGGGTCGTGTAAGTACCGTTTTAATATTAGACGATTCGAGACTTGTTCGTAAAACTGAAAGTTTTACACGAGCATTACATATTTTCGCGGACTTTGGAGAAATCTGACAGATGACGTGACAAGAGATTTTGCAGGAAATTATTCATAAGATTAAATCGTGTTATTTATTCTTGACGTAAATACAAACGATACAAACTTGACGAAATTCACATGGAAATATAACATTAAAGAGCTATTAAGCAACTCCTTGGAAGTTCGTTTAAGTTTTTCTTTTTCTTTCAAGTTACACAACGAATACACTGCGTTCCCTCTTTCAGAAAACTTACATTACGCGAGTCGTTTACGTCGGGGAATACTACGGAGCTTATGAAGTTTTGTCAAAGGTGGGTGTTGTCGTAAATCATACGCGTCGTATCTTTACGTAAACTCTTGCGAATTGTGAATAAAATGCAATTTCCGCGAAAGATTCATCATACTTTCAAGCGACGTCAACGGAAAATCGCGGGACTTTCGAAAAGGAAGTATAAAATATGTTGACGCCGTGTTACATCCAAATTTTCTCACTTTAAATCATAATTAGAGTCGGTCTCCTTCCTATATGATTTTTGTATTACGTTTTCAGAGAATGGAAAGTATTATATTTGATTTACGCATGGATTACGGTGACATGCTTGTTACAGGATTATTCCTCATTTATCCGACGTATTATGTCCACGTGTTAGAGGTATTTAGCGATATTCTACATTTCCATATTATATAATGTTCTATCACAAAAAAATCTACTACAATAAATTATTAGTTCACTCTTTCAAATATTATCAATCCAATCCGAATTTTTCTTCTCGGTTACGATACCATTTATTCGCAAAGTGCAAATTGTGAATATCGAAACTGAAACTTGAATTCCTGATAGGCGTGGGAGGATATTATTTACAAGCATTACGAGCTTATGTACGCCATGGAGAACGACGAATGCGAATTGGGAAAGGCGATTCCTCTGTCTTCGTATCATCACGTTTATCAAGTCAGTGATCCCACGTGATGTGTGATGCGTGTTATGCGAAATAATCGTGCATGATTAAATTGTGCTTCCAGAGATTCTTTAGCGATTGGTGTCACGTGTACACGATACCACCCACGTTACTTGGATCATTAGAAGGCTACACATTAGAATACATTCAGAAACAAGTCTCTAACTGCTTGACAAAAGTATACATGTTATGCGAATATATAGCGAACACTATGTGCGAAAAGGTTCGTGAAATTTTCAAGAATTGAAATGAAATCTGGAGGATTACAAACACGTCGAGTAAAACTCCAATGAAGCTTCGAGAAATCCCTTTTCGACAGATTCTCAATCCGATACCAAACTGAGACCGCATGAAAATCTTTTCTCCGCTTGATTTCGTGACGCGATTTCATTCGATTTTACAGTCGATCGACGTTCGAGACGCGTTGCACGGTTTTGGAAGCAGGGCGGCTCGATACCTACCGGAGAGCACGATCCTTGAATTCCTCTTGCATGTGGAATCGCCCGTTCTTGAGACCGTCCAGGATCGTTTGCGAATGTACTCGGACGTATCGCCAAGCGAGTTTTGGGACGGTGAGATATAATTATACGCGCGGATTTATTTTCGAGAAAACTCGGGACACAATCGATATGTCTCATCATTGATGAATTTAAATTCTTTAGGGAAGAATTTATTAAAATCTGAAGAAAATTATTTTTTTAAATGTCTGTCAATTTTGTGACGAGACGTTTTTCTTTTTTTTATAAAATTTTATGGTGAATACTTACAGTAATATTTATCATATCTCTGTCGACAATACTTAAAAAATTAAAAGGGAAAAAAGGAAAAAGGGAGTTAAAAGGGAAAAGTTGAGAAAAAATATCTCTTAAACAATACGCATATATGATAACGTTTCTTAAAAATTAATCATTACTAACAGGGGGACGATCATTTTTTCTAATATGAACTCGTGAAAGATGACAATTTTTTAATGTTTTCAAGTTGAAAAATTCCTGCTCTCTAAGAATATATACTGAAGGAGAAGATGCATGATTTATGATCTATGCATCGGGGTCATAATAATGTTCGTCGCGTGAATAAAAACGATTATTTATTTCAGAATATTTACAATATCAAAAAAACGTTCTGGTATGGGGAGGGTATATGAGACTCGTGTGTTGGAGACAGTTCTAAACTAAATACATATACAAACTTCAATGCTGTCTCGCGCAAGCGGCGGCTGGTCAGGTCCGATCGTTACTTATTACAACACATAGGGCAGTAATGCGTGCGCAACGGTTACTCGCGATCGAGGAATCCTTTGGATTTCGCTCGGCGATTCTCTAGTGTTGCTCTTTCTCGCGGGTATAAACTCATTTCGATATTATTTCTCGCAGATAACAACGTTTGGCCACCGCCGTGCAGTCTTATGCCGACTGACGTGTTTGACGAACGGAGCCATCGAATAATTTCGTTTGAACAGTTGAAGTGTCATTTGAACAACGAGAAGTAGATGCGGAAAGATCGGCGATCGATCATCCCCGGATCATTGGGATGGAAAAACGATCGGTCTTTCGCGTCAAGTAACGAATTTCTCGTCATCGAATGTAAACTCTCCTCGATTTTGCGAACATGCAACACGCAATCGAAACTCGTCGTTAGAAAAGATTTGTTTTCGTTTGTTATTAAAAAGTATACACCACGACAGCTACACGGCGCGCGCGCCTGCTTTGAGCGGAGCGATCGCGCAAACGAAGAATAGAAACTTTGGCAGTTTGAAGTCCGGGTTTTTTTTTATTTATTGTACGGTTTGTGTTCTCTCGTGGCGTTTCTCACTTTTTCTGTCTCTCTTTCGTCGGATCACTCTTCGCGGAACCTCATTGTCGCAGCGCTCCTTACCGCGTACGCTTACAGTCTTTCTCTATGCGTGCAAAAGTTATAACAAGGAGACGAGCGGGAGGAGCGGGGAATGTGTGAATCGGCCTTTTCAAGGATCGCTAAAAATTCTCCTCGACAGTGGTACACTCAGTACAATCTGTTTTCGACATCAATTCCATTAATGGCAATAATAATAATAATAATGATAATAATAATCATAACGATCAATGATTCATCTCTTTCTCCGATAAGTAAGATCTCGCGCGGATGATATAACGTAACACCTAGCGATCGAGGAAACAATTCGCCTAGAAATCCCTCGAGACACCTCATAGCTCGTAAAAACGCGATTCACCGTTTTCTACGTTCCTTAAACATCGAGTAATTTGCTAAGTATCCAGAGTCGTCCATCGTTTCCTCTCTTGGAAACGGGATGCGGAAACATGGACGCGTACGCTTCGCGCTCGCGTGCAGGACTCGTCTCGTTCTCTCCTTTTTTCTTTTTTCTTTGGCATATTCGCGTATTACTGCTACGTCTGCAAACAGTCGCAACCTACATTCCGTCTAATGGTCATTTTACGCAAAGTTCTCATCTGATATACAAATATGCGCGCCGCTTCGGCGAAACTTGAATTTTAGTAGCATCGACACGTCGAAGAAAAAGACAGAGAGCAATGAGGTCGAAGTGAGTTTTATTTAATTACTAAATTCGCCAATAAGATGAAAATAAATAAATAATAAATAAGGGTGAAAACATTCAGGTTTTAACGACGATGACGGATCGCGGGATCCTTTGGTGAAAACAGACAAAGCTTCGAGTTTCTATCTCTAGTATCTGCTTGAATAAATCGATGAACTGTCGCTTCACAGCGCGCTGTAACGGTGGCCAAAGAACAAAAAAAGGGATGTAACACGTGAGCGTAAAAATATGACTCTCTGTCTCTTTCACGTTACACGCGCCCAGCCGTATCGGATGAAATACGCTCCATTTCTCACGCAAAATCCTCGCAGTCGCGCGTTCCGGAGCGTAGTCCTGCAGGCAAAAATCAACTTGCGCGGGTCGGAGCGAAAAGACACGGATTATCGTTCCTCGCGAAGGGGTGAGATTAAACGCACGTAATGTAATTACACGTTAAATGCACCGGCCAGCAGTTGATTCCTCGATATCGCGTGGAATACATCCAATTTCCACTTTACCTCTCTCGCGGATCGGCTAGCGGCCGGGGGTGGAAGCCATGCCGCCTTCACCGCCGGCCGTCGCGTCGACGACGACGACGACGACGACGATATTATTCCTGTACCGTACGAAGGATATGACGAGGCGCCCTTCGACGACCCTTTTAAAGCTATATAATACAAAGAGAGGCTAGGAGCGGTAACCTCCGAATGAAGTACCAACGAGATTCACAAAGCGTCGAAACAGGCAGTAATTAGAAGTGTTATCGCGATCACGCATCACACGTTTCGAGGAACGTCCTGATCGGCTGTCCTCTCTTTCGCTCTTTCTTTCTTTCTTTCTCGCTTTCTCTCTTTCTCTTTCTTTCCCTAGAATAAGATCAAGACTTTGAAAAACAACGTTCATCATACTCGGTACATTTACTTCGAAGGAAGTCGTTACTTTATACATTGTACAAGAGATACTTAATCTTACGTTGTAATCCAGAATACTGCAGACTGACGACAACGATAAGGAATTTTTATTTATTCCCTTTTCTTCTCTCTCTCTTTCTCTCACATATACACATACACACACATACATGCATGCATGCATTCTCTCCTTCGTCGCCTCGTTACTCCGACCTCGCGATCTTCGTGCGTCCGTCGCCCACGACTCGATTTCCCACGGATGGAGATACAAACGATATGTCTCTGACAACTCGATTCTTCCGTTCTCTCTCCCGTCGTCGACCCTACGCAAGAGAGCTCCGTCTCGTCGTTTGCCGTTCCCATTTACGCGTTGTCAACGTTATATAAATAATTACACCGCGCGCACGGTGCAGCATGGCGTAACGCAGCGACGATCATCATCCCTCCCCCGTTCAGTGTACGTTATTCTGGCCTGACGGCGCTTCTCCCGACAACGACTTAACGCATATACATATTTATACTTACATCGACTAGACAAATTGTACAGTGTTGTGTCATAGTAAAAGTGGGAATGAAAACCATTAATATATACGCGACTCGTACAAAATATCTTCCGCGTCTCGAGGTATGTACAAGTACGGCGAACTCGCGCTCGCACACGCACACATGGCAAAACTCACACTCTCTCTTTCTCTCTCTCTACTACACGGCTCCGTCGCGAGGCTCCACCGGGGGCCCGGTCGCGAAGAGCTAACGACGCTGACGCGAGAAAAGCCGACGAGGAGAGCCGGTCGAGGCTGTTCGTCATCCTTCGGTGTGAAAAGGGCACTTGATTCAACAGAGAGACGCGAATCCTGACGAATGGAGAAACGTAAAACCCGTCCAACTCGAACCGGCTCGCTCCAAGCGTCCCGAACGACACGTGTCCCAATTCCCTTCCGGGAAGTTCTTCTGAGATACCAAAAGAACCTCTTCCTTTTGTTGCTAATCTCAATCATCGAGATCGTTAATAAACACTCTAATCTCGCAAATGTCCTTTAATTCACCCTCTCGGTCTCAAACGACATCTTAATATACTTGGGCGATCCTCGGGGGATTTCTCTAGAAAGAAAAATCGCAATCCTCCGCGCGAGAAACGTCCTCCGGAGATCTCCCGATTGTCCTTTGGACCATCGTGTCGTTCAGGACTCGCGGCTATTTCGCGATCGGCAAGGGTCTCACAGTAGTTCGCTCACGCTGCACACGGTGCAGGCCCCGTGGTGGGTGTAGGGTCACACGGAGCTCTCCCGCTTAGCCATCACCACGGGCGTACTTATCGTTCCGTCCTTCTGCGACTGCACTGGACAGCATTGGCCGGGCACCCTCGTCTCGCAGTCCTTCGTCAGTAACGTGCCGCTCGGACAGGTCCTGCTGACGACGCCCAGACCGGCGTACAGCATCGGAGGGCTCATCGACATCGACATCGACTGGACGCTCTGGCTGGGCCAGTGCTGCCTCGGCAAGGTGCAAACGCCGCTCTCGTACACGTCGCTCACCATCGGCTGAAACTGTAATATGTTACTCGCACGGAGAAAAATAATTTTGCTCTTTTAACAAAATCGTTGTTACTACTGCATATTTGTAGTAACATCAAAAAAATTTAGTTGACGTAACTAATTTTACAAATTATTTGTTATCAGAGCAGAAGTAGTTTCGTTGCCAGGATAGAAAAAATTTGTTGAGTGTATTTGTCCTAAGAATCACGTTAATTTGCTATTGATGCAAAATAATGTATTCTTAAGCGATCCGATAGCAAATTTATTTGCTATCGGAGCAAAACTACAATTGCTTATATAAATTCATCATGGTTCTTATAGTAAAATAATTTGATTCAACAAATTATATCCAACAAATAGTGATTAGTACTCTTAGCAAATCTTTTTGCTGTCCATATAATAACGAAAAGATTTTGCTAGACCTGCAGAAAATTTGCTGGACCAGCAAATTATTTTTCTCCGTGCGTGATCTTTCGTTTACCACCGTGATCGGTCTATTAACAAATGAACGAGGACTGTGGATGCACGATATGATATAGTCATACGAAAAATAATTATATCGGGGATCAGTCTAAAATAATTCGGTTCAATCTTTTCATTTGACTTTATTACATTTCATGAAGATCAGTTAATCTAATCGTTATCGTTGTGAACATTATTGTTTTTTATATTCCTTTGATTTTTCATCAACGTTTTGGCAACGGGGCATTACCATTATTGTCCCGAGTCGAAATTTTGATTCCACTTTAATCCTACAAATCCCGTCCACTTGGAGGACACTATATAGGCTATATTGTTTTATTTTGTTGCAATAAACGATCATATTCTCTCCACATTGAATTATTCTTAAAGGATTTATCTAAAAAATATTGAATATTTGATTATCTCAATATTTTATATGTGCTTGACTTTTATTCTTAATTTCAATAAGCAATTAATCCCAATAAACATTAATTGTGTGATTTTAACTGTGACTTATTTAACTATGATTTTATGTTTCTTTTAACTTATTTAACTATGCATAGAATATGTACGGTATATAAATACTAGATAACAAAGATTAATGGGCAAATATAATTAATAGTGAGTAAAATAACAAATTTTGTTTCTTTATAATTTTTATATTATTTATTTTTGACGCGTGTTGGAAATGTATATATATGAAATATATGTCTATTATTTATTGGTGTCACGGCACTGCCGCTTGATACCTCTGGAAATATATGATATATCACTCTGTTCGCGTCCTGGCTTTCCGTCATCACGCTCCGAATAGCACGTGGGATTGACATTTGTGTAGAAGTGATTTAATTGAAAAAAAGTACGTACTAATTAACGCGATGTATTTGAGAATCCCATTAGAAATATTTCAAGAGACGAAATATTTAGCATAAAATGTATTGTAACACTGGGTGAGGGATTCGCGGGGCGAGGAGGGGTCGCGTCGCGACCAAATAGGTAAGCAATGTACGCTTATTTCCTCCCGTCAACCGCCAGCCGTCGCGTAACAAAGAGTACCGAGCGCGATAACAGTAATCAAAACAGTTTGGCCTTCGAGACGGTTACCTTGTGCGCCGCGCGCTTGTCATTATGTCTCGAGCCGCCGAGCGGTACGCATAAACACCCGTGCAGAGCACATGTGTCGGTGTGTTATTTCTCGTTGCCGTCGATTGATTAAAATATTACGTTTGTACTTGAACTATCTAATTAGATTCTCGTCGGTGTCGCGTTAATTAACATACATTTCTCCAATCGAATCGTACCTGCGCGAGTGTCAGTGCTAGTGCGAGTGCAATGGAGCAACCAGGATGCTGGCCCGATAAGCCAGGATGGACGATGCAGGACATGGGACGTCGGGACGCGGACAACAATACATCATATATTTCAAGGTGTGCCAAATCATTTATTATACGGGAGGTTTCCCTTTTTAATGAAGGTTAGACGAAATTACTGAGAACAAAAAAATACCCGAGTCGAAATTCAGGCTGACATTCATAGTTTCTTAACAAATCATTATATATAGCTTCATTAATCACCAATTATTCGTCAGTATTTATGCTTATTACATTATTTCATACAAGGAATATTGATCCAAACTGCTGAACAATAGCACGTGAATATGAATTTATAATTAATTATGTTCTCAAAGATCTTAAATAATTCATAGCTATGAATACCGGCCTTACAATGTAATATAAATCTCACAATTGATTTTTGCGTCTAATAATGCTTCTTGGACCGTGAATACAATCGTGTTTATATCTGCTATTTTTTTAATTTCTATCTTGTTATTGTATCCATTGTAATTTAATCCCAATTAAAATTTCTATTCATATACATAAAGCATTATTGGATATATAACTGTTATCCTTTTCTTTACAATTTCAAAGCTCTTTTAAGAGCTCTTTTAAGAGCTCTTTTAACAACTTTTATTCTCATCAAATCTTCCAAAAGAAAAAAAGAAAAAGAAGAGAAAAAAGAAAAGGAAAAAGAATTAAAAGTATATTCAAGAACATCTTTTTTGAAGGAAATTTTTACTGAAAATCTATAATATATGTATAACGTCAATAATATATATATATATAGATCTTCAGTAAAATTTTCTTCGAAAAAGACGTTTCAGAATGCAACTTAGGAAGAGATGAGAATAAATTGTGTTGTTTTATATATATATATATATACATATATACACACCCATTTTTTCTCACCGATCTTAATTACTTAATTTTATACATCTAACGCATTCTCTATTTGTTGCTAAATAAGTAATATAATTAGTACATTGTCGATCGAAAGTAACAACAAAGATTAAATTTTTGGCAAAATATCTTGAAATAATGAAATATTAGTATAATTCATAACTAATTAAATTTATTTTATTCGAAGTTACGATAATAATTCGCGATTAAATAATAAACGATATTTCTGGCATGCATTGTTTTTTCGCGTTATAGCCATATTTCGTTAATTGCAGATCGCGAGTGTGCATTTGCCAATTTATATATTAACACACACACACACACACACACACACACACACACACACACACACA